ATTAATTACACTTGAGATAAATTGAAAATAGCTAACATTACTAAGCCCTTACAATATGTAAGTTATAAACAGACGAGTAACATCGTGGCGCATTTAATATGTACCAAGCATTCTCTCCTTACCTCATCTCAAGAGTTTTGTGTAGGATCGAAGACTTGATGGTTTCTGACTACTAGTAAGTCCTTTTAGCTCCTTTAACAATTGTTGGTTCTTGTTATCTTCTGTCTGAAATCAAAACCAGTAAATATTAGGTTCCAGGGGGAAACTATTTAATGATATTTAGCCCAAATATAAACTGTTAATCCATTTTACATTAGGTATGGTGAATGCAATGAGCAATATTTACGAGCTGAAGGCCTTTGATGAGTTTTTCAAACAGTGAATCTGTATCACCTGTATTGGGCTCTGGTCTCATTGGTACCACTACCTTTCCATGGAGCAAGCTATGTAGCATCTTGGATGGGGGTTGGGGCAGTATCTTCTTTTGTTTTTCATCCATAAAATGAGACCAATAATATTTGCCTTAACTACTTACCAGAGATTAAATTTACGGATGCATTTTATATGGGATAAAGTTTTGGTTTTTACAAATATACAGTAAAATTCATTTTTTAAATCTGACATGATAAGAGGAGATATTATACTTAGGTGAATTTTTAGATAACTATAACTTTTTAATATACTGCTAAAACTTATTAAAATAAGTTGTTACAATTGCAGCCATTTTAAAACATTACATGTACATACTTGCTTTATTAAATTGCATGCATACTGAATCTTTCTAAATTCTTCAGGATTCTCATTATGAATATCAATCATCTTACTATGTGCTGTGTGTCACAGTGGTGAATACGTTTTGAGTCTATGTAGCAGATTCCTTTGGTGGTCCCTGTTTAGTCCCCTTCCTGGTGTTTGCTGTCCCTCTTGCTAATAGAAGCATGTGACCCACTGCCTTATCGTTCCCCTGCCTGCGGGACGAGAGGGCCTGGCGATGACTCACCTGTTCTCACAGAGTAAAATGCGTGTCTGTGTGACCACTGTTTCCAGTACAGACATTTTACTCACTCCTGTTTCAATGCTGCCTGGCAGGCTGTGTGAAGAAGCAATACCTGGAGGTTAGTGCTGCAATATAAGCTCCTTACGGACAGAAACCGCATATGACTTGTTTTCACTGTATTTCCAGGGACCAGAACACACACTAGAGACTCTAGAAATCTTTGTGGAACGAATGATTACATGCAAACTGTTCATGGATTGCCAATGTTCCAGAAATTAGAATATAATAAAATGAACTAAAATCCAAAATCATAATTTTATCTTTCTTCAGTGCAGCAGTAATGTCTTGGGCTTAGATTTCTTCACGTGCCTTACCGTGAACATGAACCATCAATTATATATGTGTCTACAGACTTGGTTAACAGAATGCCAAGTAAAGCAAATTTTATTGTATTTCTCTTTGGTAAAAGAATATCATAAACTAATAGATTATAAAATTCCTATGTCATTAATAATGGCAATCATCAGGCAGTTTTGTGAATTAAATAAAAGCTTGTTTCTACCGGTTATCCTGTTATGGTGGTTCTCAAACACAGTCATTTCTGAAGGTTGAACTCCTAGTTCTCAATCACGGCAGTACATTCAGCCTGTTTCACAGTAGCTACAGGGCAGCTTGGCAGGATGTGTGGGACTCACTGAGACATAGTGTGTTAGAAATGTATGGAGCCATCCCTAGCCCAGAAATGCAGCAAGTTACAGGAGAAGGAGCTGAGCATTGAAGCCTGCTGGGCTTGGGGTCCTAGCTGTACCACAGTGGCTTGGCACTGGACCCTGAACTTTCTGAGACCCAGCTTGGTTAGTGCAGTGCAGAGAACCTGTACTGTAGTACTGTCTTAGGGACTGACCTAATTTCTGTGAAGCACTTGCAGGGGTATCTGATGTATATCAGAATGTCATTGAAGAAGAGCTATTATCTGCTAATTTATATACCTGCAGTAAAACAGTGCAGAGTGTACACACACACACAGACACTTCAGTTCTTCACTTTCCAGATGCATCGTTTCATATTTCTCTTCTCTCCCCACATACCCTACTCCACTTCCTCTCCCCTCACTGACATAATGGTGCTCGATTGAAGATGTAGTTGCCACCAAGACTGGAGGTGCCTCATCCTCCCTCCAGGTGAACGCCTGCCTCCTCCTGTACGGTTCTCACAGTGAAGTAGCGGCCCCTGTCTGTGGTACAGGACATGCCTGTTCCTCTTATCTTCTCAGAGATCCCATCCCCACCTCCTCGTTGACCTTCTGACTGGGAAGCTTTGTCCTTTAGAATTAATTACCATCTGGTATCATTTGACTTTTTTTGTCGTTGTTGCAGTTGTTGGCAAGCAGAAATTTTAATATTACTGTTCTGGCTGAAGAATTGATATTTCGATACTTGTCGGATGAATTGTCTGATAGGAAGAGAATTTATGATGAAGAAATGACGGAGCTATCAAAGTAAGTGCTCATGCTGTATGTACTTGGTCCTACGTTCAGATTAAAGAAGAAAATACTTGTTAACCTCAGGTTTACCTCAGATTATTTTGTGTGTGTGTGGCAGAGAAATTTCTTGGTCTATAAAGGGAAAAAATTTTAATTGCAAAATATTTATGGAAATATAATTGCAGGAAGTTATAAGAAATATTTTTAAATTGTGTTTTAACAAAATTATGTAGTTTCTTTTTGTTCCAAAATAAGCAATACTGAATTTTTCAGGATTGAAAAGGCAAATTACATAAAACAAGAAGCAGTACCTAGGATTGCAACTCACAACACCTTGACAGTTGTTCATGTTTTAAAATGGTTAAAATTTCATGGTTTAATAGAGAACTTAGCAGTCTTCCACTCTTCCATTTAAAGCTCATTGCCTTTGACTGCTATGTAGTTTTTGCTTTTATCAGAATTTTCTTTAGAGTGATCAAAAGCTATAACTTTTCTAAGCAAAGTAATATAATTCAGCACATTTTCTTTCATCAGATTAAATAAGACAGATTTTGCAGAAAACCTGGATGAGTAGAGAATTTTCCTCAGGCTGTGGCCCTTGGCTTTCTGTTCCCACTTTCAGGCCGACTGAGTCAGGCCTGAGGGTTTTGTTTTGTAGACGAGAGACTTGGGGTTGGCGAGCTTTTGCTGTCTTAGTGACTAGTCCTCCCTTCTGTCTCTAACAGCAGTGTATCTAAGTTAACGTGTCCCCTTGCCCTGCAGTCTGACCAGAGACGTCCCCATCTTTGTGTGTGCCATGGCCTTCCCCACCGTGCCATGTCCACTCCACGTCTTTGAGCCCCGCTATCGGCTTATGATAAGAAGATGCATGGAAACCGGCACCAAGCGGTTTGGCATGTGTTTATCTGCTGAGCACGCAGGGTAAGAATCACCAGCATTCAGAGGATCCTAATTAAGGGCATAATTTGTCATTTTTCTTGAAGAACAGTGTAGGATGATGCTTGAAAATCTCCAGTGGCTCCCATTACATACCAAAGTCTAAGTTCAAGAATCAGATGTGATCCCGTCCTTTCTAGCCTCATCTAAGCCTTCCTTTGAAACATCATACTTGCTAGTCCACTGCCGTATTACTTGTCTTCTCTAATGACAGCTCGTGCATCCATACCTCCATGCTCCCTCTGCCTGCAATTATCTTCTAGCCCATCTATACAGACAAATCCAGTCCAGCCTTTAAGTTCTAGAAAAATTGCAACATACCCCATGAAGCATTTCTCTGTCTCTGCAGCCATAAAATCTCAGTCTCATAGAAACCCACTGCACTTGGTTTTAACCTCATCATTTGTCAAGAGAGCGTTGCAAGTCAGCCAGTAACTTTCCTCTCTGAGCTGATTTGGGGACTCAAGACCCTTCCCACCTCTTAGGGCTTTGTTAGCCCTGCCCCGTCATGATGAGGTCACTACACCCACGTTCTAGCTGGTGGAAGGGGCAAACGTGCCCTTAAAGGACTCTGGAGAAAAGGGGCCCCCTCACTTCTGCTCACACCTGCGGCAAGGGAGGCTGGGAAATGTAGTCCACGCACATGCCCAGGAGAAATGGGAGAATGGATTTTTAGGGCCACCCAGCAGTTTCCACCATAAATACCTAGGGACAATTTTTAAAAAAAAATATGTGTGGAATCTTTATGGAAAAATTCTAAAACTTTATTGAAAGATATTCAGGAATCCCTAAATAAGTGGAGAAAAACGCCATGTTCATGAATGTAAAAACTGAATGTCATAGAGATGCCATATCTACCCAAATTAGTCTACAAATCCAAAATAATTCCGTCAACACCCCAGGGGGGCTTTTTCATTGACTTGCTCAAGCTGATATTAGAATCAATGTGGAAAAGAAAAAGAACAAGACCAGATAGTTTTGAAGAAACCAGCTGAGCAGACAGGGAAACATTCCTGTAATATCAGACTTATAAGCCATAGTACGTCGACCAATGAAACAGAATAATAACAGAGATCAGAAACAGACCCACTCATACATGGGCAACAAATTTATGTTGTATTAATTTTGTAAGAAAAGACAAACTACTCAGTAAAAGATACCCATAAAATTAGTGGGCAGTCCAAATGGGGGAAAAAACCTCTTCTCTACCTTACACATTTACATTCCAAATGTGATATGTGAAAAACAAAATATAATAACGTTTAAGAGGAAATATTGGGGACTAACTATCTTTGTAATTAGGAATTGGGAATGATTTGTTTAATATAATAGATGCTGAGAGCACATAACAGAAAAGAGATAATAAATTAGAATATATTAAAATTTGATTCATCAAAAGGCAGTGAAAGCAATGTGAAAAAACAAGCCACTTGCTTGTTCAAAAACCAAGGCATTCCACTTCCACTGAGAATATAGAATACTGAAAAGAACATTATTGCCACCCAAACAACAAGGAAAAAACAGATAAACTATAGAACATATGTACCTTGATCCCATCAGAGAGCAGAGATTGCCCAGGGTAACTAAGAAAAGATAGGTCCCTCCAGGAAAAGTGTGGACAGAGCCAAGGAGGAGACGGACAAGTGTGTGGGAAGAATTCAGCTCATTTAAAAAAAAATGCTAATGACCTTGTGTGGGCCAGCATCGGAGTGTAGATCCCCTGGGAGCTGCAGATGCAGGGGGTGGGTGTGCCACGCCCAAGTTCTTGTCCACAGACGAGACGAGACGCTCCTGGTGAGGCAGGAGATGCCCTGAGCCAGGCAGACTTGGAGAAGCTGCCGTTTATTTTAGAGGCCATCTGAGGATAGCTGGGACAAGTCTTCCCTTGAAGGGGGACCTTCAGGGTGCCTCCAGGTGCACCAGCTGTAGACATCACCCTGTGAGATAACCAGGGGGAGAGAGTTTTATTAACTATCCAGGGGGAGGTATCCAGCAGGCAGTTGGACATACAGGCCTATAACTTGGGAGTCCTCCCTTCTCTCTCGTTTGGGAGAGTGAGTTAGTGGAGTTGTTCACCACAAGGACTTTGGAATCAGACTGGCTTAGGTCCCAATTTCAGCTCTCAATCTCATTGTGACTTAGATAGGTTGTTTAATTCCTCTAACCCTCCATGTTTTTGTGAGGCTTGATTGAGTGCCTATTATAAACTGTTCCGTATAGTGCTTGGCACATGGAAAGTGAGAATAGGACCAGGATCTGGATGATAGTTAGAATTGGGAGAGCGCTGGCATGAGAACAGATATAGCCAGGACGCCACCCCAAGAGAGGAGAGGAGGCGTTGGTTCATGCCAGGTCAGCAGGCTCGTGCCTTAGACAGACCAGACAGGAACCGCCCACTGGTTTAGCAGTTCAGAGGGCACCTGTGACTTCTGATGGAATCACTTTAATGGAATACTACGATATGGAGGAGTGAAGGAGAGACAGGAGATGAGGGCCTGTGGAACGCGTCCCGTGGCACTGTGGTTGGGGCTGGCAGAGTTGGCCAGTGTCGGTGGAGATGAGGTGAAGACTTTGTGGGCAAGGAGCAGAGTCTGCGTGTGCCGTGCAGGCCAGGCAGGCCTGCCAAGAGGCCACGTTGAAGATTCTGTCTCTTCCCAAATCTAGGGTCCTTCACAAGACACTAGCTTGTCAAACTGCTAAGGCGTAGGTCCTCTCTCACCTGGAACGCTTCCACTGCAGCCCCCACACCAGTACATTTAGCATTTAACAGGAACGGCCATCTGCGGGTGTCTCTTAGAGGTAATAACCCCGCTGGTCTGACACAGAGACACCGTTTGTTTCCTTTTAAAACCCAAACTCTCATCCCAGGAAAAATAGAGACTCCCTGTGTTTTTAAAATCATGGTCATTTCCCCCAACTGTGCTTTCAGGATTTCCGAGTATGGCTGCATGCTGGAGATTAAGGATGTCAGAACTTTCCCTGATGGAAGTTCAGTCGTAGATGCAGTTGGCATTAGTCGGTTCAGAGTCCTCAGCCACCGGCACAGAGACGGCTATAACACGGCGGACATTGAGTATATTGAAGATGAGAAGGTAAGGCTTGTACTGGTGTGTTTTATAGAGGCCAGTCCCCTTGTTTCCCTCTGCATTGTGGAGAAACTTCGTCAGATTTTTATTGGTAATATTACTTATTTCCTCCTTAATTCTGCACTTATTTATTCTCTTAGTGGAGAGAATAACTTTTATCCAAGTTGGAGCTGGTAGAGAAATTGTCTACTCCTAAAAATATGACCCTACTGTACTTATGAAACGTATAAACCTGCACGTTGCAAAATGGGCTTGTGAGTCGTTTGATGTTCTAGCCCAGTTCTAGCAAACTTTTCTGTAACAGTCCAAATAATAAATACTTCCGACTCTGCAGGACGTGTGGTGTCTGTTACGGCCACTCAGCTCTGCCCTTGTAGTGCAAAAGCAGCTGTAGACAGTATGTAAATGGATGCACATAACTGGTTTTCAATAAAATGTTATTTACAAAAATGGGGTGAACAGGGTTTGGCTCAGGAGCAATAAGGTGCCAATCCCTGTTCTCGATATTGGTTTTCATTCAGAAGAGACAAAATATAAAAAATAGTGCTGAAAAATACCTTCCAAACCTAAATATAAAAGGCTTGCATCTCTTACCCCTTAAGAATTATTTATATGTCTAATAGAAAAATTGGAACATATAATTTGGCAAATTATCAAATGTTTTGAAGAGATTCTCAGACTTTTACAAGGATGTCCGGAGTAGTCTTGCTCATTAATAGCCAACAACTAGAAATGGCCTTGATGCTCATCAGCAGGTGAATCAATAACCATTCATACAATGGGATCCTACTTGGCAATAAAACAAAATGAACTTCCGATGCACAGAACAACACGGATGAATCTCATAGACGTTGTGCTAAGTGAGAGAAGCCAGATACACACAAAACACACTGTGTGACTCCATTTGTATGCTCCCAGGAAGAGGCAAAAGTAGTCTCTGCTGACAGAAGTCAGAAGATGGCCATAGGATGGCTTTGTAATTGACTGGAAAGGGGCTCGAGGAGTCTTTCTAAGGTGATGGAAATATGGTCTATATTCCATATAGACCGTATTTAGGATGGTGGTTAGACATGTTAACTCTTTGAGCTAAACTAATAAGATCTATGCATTTTTTGGTCTTCAAATTATACTACAAGAAAAGAATTAAAAACATTTAGGAGGAAATCCTTGGACTTACTGTATCCCTCTTTTAAAGTCTTCGGTTGACATTTAGAAATGTGGAAGTGAGAGTATGTAGCCATCACATCACACTAGAAGTCACTTTGGGGACAGCAGCGTACATTTGTGATTTGTGAGTGGAGCCACCCACAGAGCACCAGCTCTGCCTCCTCCAGCCACTGTTGCTGGTCATCTTAGGCTGTGGGACCACAGAGCCATGCAGAGCAGGAGTCAGACTCCAAGGTCTGGGGCAGAGAGCCGGGTTTCACCACTGTGGCTGAATGTGCTAGTTGATGGGGACGGGGGGCGGGGGGGTCCCTCTGCTGGAATGGTAACAAATCTGATGACAGGGTTTATTGACTATCGTTGTGGATAACAGCTTTTACTGATGTTTGTATTTATTTTAAAATGGGGACTTAAATAGCTACAATATGAAATAATTTGTTATTTTTTTAAAGAAAATCCTCTACTACATATGAATATTTGATTTGGTATAAACCAAATTGAGGATGGTTATATGCGCTACAGTGTAATTCCTTAGTATCTCATAGTTTTCATAGGCACTGGAATTTTATAACCGGAAAAGACCTTAATGGGTTATTCCCATTTTACAGATGAGAAAACTATCCTAATTGAGGCCATGAGACTGGCTAAAATGCACACACAAAAGTCAGTGATGAAATCAGCACAAACCTGGGTCTCCTGATCCCCAATTCAATGCACTGCCTACTCCACCAGGTGTTCCCAAGTAGGACTGAGGCATAGTTTAAATAACAGACTTGACAACGAGATAGGGATCAGAGGCCAATCGTGGTAAATCCGAAGTGTTACAGTCGACCATTAGCTGGGGCCCATAAGCATAGACTCACGTAATGAATGCAGTGTTGCTCTGACATGCCTTTTGGATAGTTTGGTGGTATAGAATACAGTTTTTTAGAATGTCAGACTTTTTAACTTGGTAGTTCCACCAAGGTTTCTAGGAAACCATCCTGAGGAAATAATACCTCCTTCCTTTGCCTAAAAATAGCATACAACTTTTGCATAAATAAATATTGTGCATATTTACTTAGTAAATAATACTACTGTATTTTTAAAGATAAAAATGTTCACATAAGATATATAAAAAATATATACTTAACCTATATATTTACTTAAACTATATATTTTTAATATATAAAAAATGTATGTGAATGGGTAAGTAAATTGCCATATCTCAAATACATAATTGCATGCAGCCATTGAAAATTATTCATAATAACATGGAATATGTGCTTATAGTGTTAAGAGAAAAATTAGAATATAATAGATCTCAGCTATGGAAAAAAAGTACAGATTTCTATATTGAGCAAATATCATTTTTATGATAATAATTATTGAAGAAACAAATGACACGAATTCATGTACCAGATGTGTTTCATGTATACTCATGAATTGCGAAATGGCCATCCCTCTTTCCTTGATCAGGTGGAAGGTCCAGGGTATGAAGAACTCACCACGCTTCACGATTCCGTTTATCAGCAGTCTGTCTCCTGGTTTGCATCTCTCCAGGATCACATGAAAGAACAAATTTTAAGTCATTTTGGGTTAATGCCAGACAGGGAGCCTGAGCCTCAGGTACATTCTGTTTTTTCTTTTATAACACTATTATTTCCTGCCAAAGTGTGCTAAGCCACAGAGTTCCGATGGGAAATTTGGCAGTACGATGCCAGATACTCCATTCTGATTGCTTATGAACCAGTTTGTGTATTAGCAGCCCAAAGAAGCACCTAACATGGCGGCAGTGCCTCCTGGAGCAAAGTAATAAAGCTTTCTAAGAGTCCCTAAAGATGCTTTCTTTTCTAATGAAAATCAACTTATACTGCTTGGCTATCAGCTTTTGTATTTTTTTGCTTCTCTCACCAACATTGTGAGATTTAAATAGTAATATTATCATATTGACGTGGACACTCCATGTTTTGCACATAACATTGCCTTGCACTTAATAAACAGATGTTGAATAAATGAAGAGAAAATCCCATAATTCTTGTTACATTAGAAGCACTTTCTTGTCCTTTGTGGTCCCCTGCTGCCCGGTCGTCACAGGCTTTCTCTGGTCCTCCCTATGAGTGCTTTTGGCGAAGCTGATTCTTTAAGCAATGAATGGCCCTCAGGTTTGTGGAACATTTGTAAGTGCAGGTGACTCTCCTCCTCCACATGTGGATGAGAGAGCCAGGCCAGGACGGCTTAGGATTGTGACCGAGAGTGTGTACAGCTCCTCCCCTTGTACGTGGGCGCACAGCTGTCTCAGAGGAAGGCAGGGAGGGGCTAGCTCTCAGCAGGCTTAGAGTAAGATGAAATGTCTTTTGTGTCTTTCTGCATCCATTTTTATCTTCTTTTCCTGTCTCTTAAGGGTTTTTATCTTTTGTCTGAGTTCTGTCTTTTCCAAACTCAGCATAATGCTTTAAATGCAAAAAATTGCCAGTAAATCCTTCCTCACCTTCCCTTCTCTTAAGAGCCCTCTTTCCACACTGTCCCATAACTCAGAGTCAGAAGGCAGGGTGTTTAGACTAACTTGCATTAGGGTATCACCATTATTTTTACTGGGGGTTTTTGCTTCTTAACCCCAATTAATCTCCAATTGGTAGATGTATTAGCTTTCTGTTACTGCTGCAGCAAACATGGGGGCTTAAAACAACACAAATTTGTTATCTTACAGTTAGTTCCGTAGGTCAGAAGTCCAACACAGGTCTCCCCGGACTATGATCAAGGTGATGGCAGGGTGCACTGTCATCTAGAGATTGTAGGGAAGGGTCTGTTTCCTTGCATCTTCCAGCTTCTAAAGGCTTGTGGCCTTCCTTGACTGCTGACTCCCTCCTCCATCAAAGCCCGCAGTGTCACATCTCTCTGGCCATCTGTCACATCCCCCTCTGGCCAGAGCCCAAGGGAGCCATGACATGGCATTGGACTCGCTGGGATAATCTTCCCATCTCAAGGTCCTTATCTTAGTCATATCTTCAAAGTCCTTGTGCCATAAAAGGGGTACCATGTTCATAGGTTTTAGGAATTAGGGTGTGGCCATCTTTTGCTGGACCATTTTCCTGCCGACCTCAGAGGGATTTTTAGGTACGCAGGAGATATTTTATGCGCAGTCCTTCCCATTAAGCATGCTACTCAGTATTTTTCCCTCTGTGTAAGATGAGGAGGGGAAAGGAGAGTATGAATCTGTATAGAAGGCAGTTTTCTCTAACATCTGTGCCTTTCTCCCTCTGAAGGGTGGACAGGTTAGTGTCTCCTCAGAGTGACTTGGGCCACTCCCTGTGAGTTTTGGCTGCGGTCTCATTGCTAATCCTCCAGTATACTCTACCTCACCCTAAACTAAGGCGACTCCAGAGTCCGCCCTCCCTAGTTGCCAGTTGATACCTTACATACCTTTGGGATAGGAACAGGGGAGAATCCAAGACCCTGGAAGCAAGAAGACCTCGATATCATGGTACCAGGAATATTGAGAATAAATTTATGATAAGCTTTTGCTTAGAGCTCAATCCAGATGTGCCTGTTTGATTACGTGAAAGAAAGGCTGTTTAATACCATACTAATTCTTATGTATATAATTTGTGATGACTCCCACATATAGTAACATGTATACGTATATATGTTTTATACACATTGACCTTATTATGAGATTTATTATGTCACTCAAACTTGTACACATACTCTTAGTCTTTATGATATTATGCTAAAGGTATAGCATGCTTAAGACTTAAAAAAAACAATAGCACAGAACATTGGAAAGTGGAGGTAAAAGTTATGGTCCTCTCTTCTGATTGGAGTATACTCTTACCTGAATACTTGACAGAGCAGAAGCATCTAATTCGTAGATTCTTCCCATGGAAGATGCTTTTCTTTGCAAACTCTTGGCCTTTATTAGCATGCAAAGAAAAGCATCTTCCACGGGGAATCATCTTGTGAGTTCGCCCACTTTTAAGTGTGTAACATAAAAGTATTTTGAGAGCTGAGTGAGTTCTGAAGTAGCCCTAAAATAGAAGGTGGCGTTTAATTCTTGTTCCCACGTCTGTTGGTTAAACAAAAGACTATGTGGGGGACTGGCCTGTATTTTAAGCGTTAATCTTGTTTTCCTTTTCATTTCTTTTGCAGAGTAATCCTAGTGGTCCTGCCTGGTCCTGGTGGATCCTGGCAGTGTTACCACTGGAACGCAAGGCTCAGCTGGCTATACTCGGCATGACCTCGCTGAAAGAGCGTCTCCTTGCCATCCGACGAATATTAGTCATCATCACACGTAAGATGAATAGTCGGCAAGAGCTGGCTAATACCAGGGAGAGAAATAATTGATTCTTTCTCTCTGTCAAGGTCACTGGGAGCCCTTGTACTTTTATGAGTACCAGGCATGGACGAATAGCCATCCCATTCATTGCCTTTGTAAAATGCTTGTTGATAGGGTTACAAAGTGGAATACTTGCCAAACATTGACTTCTACTCAAAAGGTACAAGTTTGTGTCTGGTGGAATCTGACCCTCTACAAGGTTAGCCTGAAGTTTGAACGGAGCCCATGGTTGGAAGACAACCTAAGAAAATCTCTTTGAAGCAGATGCTTCAGGAATACAGTTCACTGACAGCATGGGACACTGCAGATGGTTTACATGTGGTTCAGGTTTCACAAAAAAGAAGGATTCCCTTCTCAGTCGGTATCTCGCCCTGCCAGATGGAAACAGCATGCCTCAGTGGCTAGACAATATGGGGGAACCACATTTTTATTTGGAAGTGGATTTCTTAGAATCCAGGCTAACCGAAAATGTGCTTAGGCTTTGTGTGTCGCTGTGAAGTTGTCTGTGAAATTGAAGAATCAAACCATTATCTGGTGCAGGAGCCAAAATTAGTCCTTACCTGAGAAGTAGTAGCTACCGGATGGAACTGTGCTTAATGTCTAACATGTTGTAGCCCCAGGTGTCATAAATTGCATGTTATAATCAAATGAATGTCAAAATACAAGAAAGTATATCTGGGATTTAGAAAAACCTGAGAGAAGTATTGTTAATTTGAGGATATATACACTTACACATAGTAAACAAAAAGTGAGCAAAAGTGAATTAACACATTGACTGCCAGACTAGAAAAAAACAATTTCTTTGGGGCCGCAGTGTTTTATTACGAAAACAGAGTAAAACTTGGAAAACAAAATGATCCTTTCTAATTTAATGAATAATTTATTTTTTATTGTTTTCTGTGCATGAGTTATATGCAACTTGAAAAATAGTTCTCACACCTCCTAAGGTGAAGAGATGTGTGAGTTACATATGCTTCACAAGGCCTCAGGCTCACAACTAGCATGAGCTAAATACAACTCACATGGCAGTTAATGTGTTAAAACTGTATATGCATTGGGATGTCAAACATACAACCACCAAGTGCAAAGAACTCCTTGGAAGCATAACCTTGTCTGTGATTCAGTGGATATTAAGTATTTAGGAAACAGTCATCTTTTCTACCAGGATTTGCATTGGAAATGAGGCCCATCAGTAAGTTTCAGTTTAGTAATCCATACACTGATAGATGAAGTTATTAAAAGCGGCCGTGCAATGGCAATCTGTCCATTCCAGAGAAATATACCAGAGTATACGAGGAGAGGGAGGCTGGTAGGGGATGTAAATATTCAGCCAGATTTTCTTCAATACCGACCTAAAATTATCTTTATTTTTTTTGAAAGAAAGTTTTACAATGATCAGACTAGGTGTTATCTGCCAAAGAATAGTATATATAACTTCCAGCCTCTAACGCACATTGGTTATACTGATGGGACTAACTGAACCCGAGCTACTCAGGTGTTCTCTCTGGACCACCCAGCCGGTGCATGTAGTTGGCTTCTTCATCTGTAAGATGGACATTCTTAACTCAAATATGACGACAACTAAAGAGCAAATCACAGCTGCAAGTTTTGCTTTATTCATTCAAGGTATGTGATTTTTGAATTCTAGAAAATTTCATAATACACAATGTTGATAGTTTATTAATCCATCAAGCATTTCATTAGAAAGACTTTATTATTATATTATTAATTTTTTATCATAGGAGTTTCCAGTAGCTAAAACTAAGTTTTATCATGGGAGTCAGAAAATACTACGTTTGATAACTTAATTATAAAGAGAAAGTCTGAAAGTATTTTCTAATCAAATGTTTCAAGTGCCTCACTTATTGTGAATCTCAGATCTCATCTTGAGATGTTTAAAGGCAGTTTGGCCAAGTGATTTCTAAAAGATTTTATTAATTTATGCATTAATGATTGTGTTCAGTTTTCTTAGGCATTATAACCTAACCTAACAATTAAAAAAAAAAAAAAACGCCGCCGAACATGCCAAAAGACCTTACCAGAAGTGGTTCGTGAAAATTGATACACGTTGACCATTCTCTGTCTTTCCCTTTCAGAAAATTGCTTTTTGTACCTTAAGACCACATCTGAATAGTGATAATTACTATTTCCATTTGGAGGTATCTAAATAACCACAATGAGATCACAATTTCTCCAGGAGGCTTTCTGTATGCTCAAAACTTCGTATAACGTTTAGAAGCTATCACTTTCTCTTCCTCACTCTTCAAATGTCCTAACTCACACAGTTCTTGGAATCGGAACCATTAAGTTATTTCCTCTGATTCTGTTTGCCTCCTTCCGAGTCTCCTCATTCTGAGTGGTCTTAGGTAAAAGCCTGAACCACAATAATGATGTGGACGCGAGAGCAACACAAGTTTTTGTGTTTTGATACCACAGGGAATTAGCTAGGATCACTTCCTGCCCTCTCCACTCAGCATGGCACCTCTGTATATTGCAAAGTGGTAGCAGACTGACACTTACTGAGCACTTAGATAACGTTATTTATCAGGAAGTCAACTGAGGTAACAGTATCCCACTGTGATGTTATGAAGGAAGCCTCTTCTTACAAACTTAAAAAAAAAGAAACCCAAACTCCAGTTTGCTATGCATCTTGCTAAAGCAGAACAGTCCACTTCCTCCTCTGGGCCTCTTTTCTGTCAGGAGGATGCCATTTCTAAGGATTTCCTAGAAAATAATGTAGTCTCTCATCCAAAGTCAAGGCATTCCAGTTTAATTTCACTGAAAGCGTTCCAACAGTAATGCTCTAATTACATCAGAATAAAGTGGAAAAGACCGAGAGCGGCATGGAGGGGGTCATTTTTCTTCTTGAAGAACAATACACTTGGTTAGGTATTTTTCCATTCATTCTCCATACCTACCTTTGTCCTTGAAATGCAAGTAAGATCCCAAAAAGTGGCATTCTGAAAGCCCATGACATTTTTAGTACATCTCATCTATGTGTCCCCATCTTTAGAACTGAAAAGTTAGGATATTTTCTAAAGTTCCAAATGAAAGTAATTTAAATTTTTAAGGCTTACCCATGGAACCACAATAATTTTTAAACAATTTATGTACCAAATTCTACAGTGTGACTCCATTTTTATAATCACAAATGTGTCCTTTTTTCTCTCACCACCCCGCCAAAAAAGCAAAAACACCAAGACTGTTTAATAAATTGTATCTCAACTCTTACATATGTCAAGGCTTGTCACAGGACTTTTGAATCATCAAGGAACAATTAAAGTTTATGGATGGTAGAATTACCATGAACTGTCATATTAACATAAAATTATTTGAAAATTGGCATTTGTTACAATCAAAATACTCCATTGCCTGACCTAGCTGTATCATGTAGAATTTGTTATAAATTTTTAAGTTGCTTTTTAAAAGTACCCATCTGCTTCTCCTTCTTTTCTTTTGTTTTTCCCCCACCACTTAAATTACTTGGTTAAATACCACTCCTTAAAATTTAGATGCTATCTATCAAATAAGAAAGAAGAAATGTGAAAGATACAAAGAAGGAAGATAATAGCAAACTAGAAGAAAATAAATGTGAGTGTTTTTGTTGTTGAGAAAGCACAAAGTTTTATTTTTCCCAGGTAGAGCTATGGGGTAGGGTAGGAGGTCCCCATCTCCTGATTTTTTTTAACATGGATCACAGTGGCAGCCAGCAGAAGGGAGTTCTTCCTCTTTAACTGTCCCTGCGTAACGGCCTTGTTCTGATTCTGTTGTTCCCCAAAACCTAATTCCCAGGGAAGCTAGATCTGAATGGGTGCGGTCAGCGGTGTGAGCCACCCCACCACACAGGGAGAGAACCGAAGCTTGGATGTTGCAAAACATCACGTCCTCTCTACTGGGGTGAGACACGTCCTTCTGAGCACTGACTCCCAACTCCGCGGAGAAGGTCTTTTCACCTTTACAACTCTTCACCTTGACTTCACCTTGACTTTCTCCTCTCAACCGCTGAATCCTATAAAATAGCCTTTTAGCAGTGGCTCTGCTTTTAGGGGATCCTGAATATTAGAATACTGCAGCAGCACAAAATAATGAAGAAATTAAAGTGCCACCATTGCACTCAGCTAGCTTGGGGACATCAGTGCCAATTTGTACCCAGGTCTTGATTTATAAAGGTGACTGAGTGAAGATACAGAAATGTGAGTGCCATTGACAGAAAGTTTATTGTTACTGACATTTCCCCTAGAAACAGAGGCACAACAGGCCATGCAGGGCCAGGTGGGGAAGCTGTGGAGTCAGACAGAGGCAGGAAGGGGGAAAATGGGCCACATCCTTTGTTAGGGTTTCTGCAGGAAAAGAAAGGCAGGGCGGGAGCTTGGATTGTCTAGTTCCAATAATGTCTCCAGGCTATAGGGTGGTCTCAGGCTATCTGGTACCTGGCCCTGGGTGATGAAGGAAGGGGGATGTTGCCTCTGGGGTATAAGAGCCAGGTAGAAGAGGTGGCTCTGAGTAAGGCTCTGGGTCAGTTAGTTTGCATGTGGAAGGTGTGCTCCCAGGGAGCCCTTCCCTCTGAAGATTGGCTTGCTCTGGGAGGGGCAGTCTCTCCCCAGTCAGTGAGGCCTACAAGATGTCAAAATATCATCAAATATAAAAATCATGGTTTATACAATTGGTCCTCTGATGTTTGGACATATTAAACTTTGGGGGTGATGATAATGGAGACATTTAAAGGGTAGGGCATAACAGCATAGAATACATGTTACTACGAGAGCGGAAAGGAGGAACACAAGTAGAGATATAAGAAGTCCTTTAGTCTGGCCCATAACTAAGTTTCTCCTTTATATGGCATTAGTCAAGAACATAGGTCTGGAATTTTGGGGGACCTTTAACAATTTCTTGGTGGAGTTGTTAAAGTGTTAAAAATATGAGTCTGATAATATCTTGCTGTGTTTCATGGGTCGGGGTGGCAGGTCCAGCAGTTATGTCACTGGGGGATATGAACAGAGAGTTTAGTAAAGTGTGTATAAACGTGAGTGGCATTCATGTGTAGCAAAGGGAAGGAGAGGTGTGGAGACGCAGGGTAAGAGGGCATGGGAGCGGGTGCACCTCTCCCCAGGGGGTCAAGGGGTTGACTGATGTGAGGCAGGTGCCTCCTGGGGAAAGCAGTGATGTCTATTAGTTTTCAGAACAGCACAGATGGTAGTAACTTCTGCTAGGTTTCCCGTTAGGCATGGGAGTGTAGGGGCCACAATTTGGCAGAGGAAGGTGTCCACCAGGATTGAGGGCTAAGCAGGTGGTGAGGCCAGGAAACATAGTAGACTCCCTGATAACAAAGGAAGAAAAACAGAATGTCCTGTGACCAATTTGTGCCTTAGGAGATGTGGCTGATGGGTATTACTGGGATAGAAGCAAGGTCATCTCCAATGGCGAGGTCATGGCTGAGACCGTGTCATTTTCAGCCATGAGCTTCTGGGCTGGGATGATGATGTCTGAGATGTGAGACTTGGGGTCTGCTTTTTAAGTGGGCC